ATGATGACCACGACCTGAAGATCCCCCACGATACTCTGGACGAGCCGACTGAGCAGGCCTGAAAGAGCGACCTCTACCCTACTGGAACTGGCCCCTCGAAGGAGCACCACTGTAGCTGCCCGATCCACGAGGCCTCTTTGCCTCCCTCTCCTCTCGCTCTCTACGGCGAACTGACTCGATCTCACGAGCGATGTCCACCACCTCCTCAAATGTAGCACCCAGTACTCTCTCTCTAGTCATCAGAATACGTAGATGGTAGTTAAGGCCCTTCACAAATCTCCTAATCCTCTCACGATCTGATGAAACCATCCAAGTAGCATGACGGGCCAGCTGTGAAAACCTCATCTCATACTGAGTCACTATCATATCCCCCTGTGTTAACCACTCAAACTGCCTACGCAGCTCCTCCCTACGGGACTGAGGTACATGCTTTCCAGAAAAAGAGCGGAGAACTGCTGCCAAGTCATAGGTGTTGCACAGGTAGGCCTACGCCTCTCAAAGTCCTCCCACCAAGTAAGAGCAGCCCTTGTGAACTGAAAAGTGGTAAATGCCACACCACTCGACTCAAGGATCCCCACCGTATGGAGCATACGCTGACATCTGTCAAGAAAACCCTGGGCATCCTCGCCCTCAACACCACCGAATGTCGGAGGTTGGAGCCTACCAAACCTCTCGAGACGACGCTGCTCATCGTCTGGCATAGCTGGAACCACGAAGCCCTGAGCTGGTGCAACCTGCTGAGCTGGAGGTGCCTCTGGTGTCTATAGTCCCTGCACTCCCTGCGCAGGTGTGCGAGCAACGGGGGTCTGATTGCCTCCCCCGGCCTGTGAAGTAGCTGCTGTTGCTGTGGTGGCTGAGACTGCCTGAGCCAGGCCAGTGCACACCGTTAATATCTGTGCCAAGGTCTCCTGAAGACTCGGAATCACGATAGGCACAGCTGGTGCCTGAGCAGGTGCTGCTGGAGTATCCACAGCTGGAGCCTGATCCTGAGCTGGGGCAACTAACGGATCAGCAGGTGCTGCCCCGGCTGCTCTGCCTCTGCCATGACCACGATCGCGTCCTCGGCCTCTGGCGGCCTCAGTAGGTGGCACTGGTGGTCGTCCGTCACGTCCGGTAGCTCGTGTCCTCACCATATGTGAGAGAATAGAATAATAGAGGTTTAGTTCTCAGTTCAACAAAGCCGCACGACAAGAGTTTCAAGAATATGAAGTTTCCTAAAGGTTCGGCAGCCTCCCGAGGATAGGTACAGACGTCTTCGTACCGATCCACGAGACTCTACCAACCGGCTCATGACTCGCGAGACGAAGTAACCTAGGCTCTGATACCAACTTGTCACGACCCAACCCCGGTCGTGATGGAGCCCAACACACTGCTAGGCAAGCCCGACCAATTAAATAACCTTAACCATTTTACTCAGTTCATGAATTAATTAACACAGATAATTACTAAGTCAAAATACTAACTTCGCCAATTCAAGCCTAATTCTACACCGGACCTCCAAAATTACTTCCGATCGCGCTCCTAAGTCACAAATCATCCCCCGAAGCTAACCGAATCATCGAAAATCATATCGAGCCCTCTAACACATAATTCAACATCCGGTTGACTTTTCCAAAACAAGCCTTCCTTAAAGAGACTAAGTGTCTCATTTCCTTCTAAAACCAATCCAAATCAACTCGTTCATACCCAACATTGATAATGAAGCATAAAGAAATAGAAAATGGGGGAAACGGGGCAATAACCCATGTGACGACGGGTTGGGTCGTCACAGGCTAAAGATTAATATGTCATCCACATACAAACATATAATAACACAATCTGATCCTATCATCTTGGAATAAATACAAGTATCAGATGCATTAACAACAAAATCATCAACCACTAATGTGCTATTAAATTTTTAGTACCATTGCTTAGGTGCCTGCTTTAGACCATATAAAGACTTTCTCAATTTGCATACTTTATTCTCCTGTCCTTGGATCACAAATCCCTCAGGTTGAGACATATAGATCTCTTCCTTTAATTCACCATTTAGGAAAGCCGTTTTAACATCCATTTGATGTATCACTAAATTATGAATTGCGGCTAAAGCAACAAGAGTTCTAATAGTCGCTATCTTAGTCACAGGAGAATAAGTGTCAAAGTAATCAATGTCTTTCTTTTGGTTAAAACCCCTAATAGCAAGTCTAGCCTTATATTTCTCAATTGTACCATCAGGTCTCAATTTCTTCTTAAATATCCACTTGCTACTTATGGGTTTACAACCATTAGGCAAATCAGACAAGTCCCAAGTGTGATCAGAAACTATAGAGTCTAATTCACTTTTGATGGCCTCTTTCCAAAACCTAGCATCTATTGACCTCATTGCTTCACTGTATGTCTTAGGGTCTTCTGCTATTAAATAGATTGACACTAATTCATCACTCAAAACATCAAGATCAATATTTTCAGTCAAGAAAGTAGTAATAAAGTCAGGACCAAAGCTAGCTTCAATTCTACGCCTCTTACTTCTTCTAGGTTTATTTTCTCATTAGCAGTAACAGTAGAAGAAGGCACAATATGCGAATTAACAGACATAGATGTAGAAGAATTATTAGGCATAACACTAGGCACATTATTTTTCAATGGAAAAACATTCTCAAAAAGTTCTGCATCTCTAGATTCACAAACAGAACTATCATTCAAAGACATAAATCTATATGCAACACTATTTTGAGCATAACCAATGAAAATAGCATCAAAAGTCTTGGATCCAACAATTACTTGTTTAAAGTCAGGTAGACCAACCTTAGCCAAACACCCACAAACTTTCAGAATTTTCAAGTTAGGGGCAAACCCTTTCCATAACTCATACGGAGTTTTATCTAACTTCTTATGAGGGAATTTATTAAGAACATAGCATGCAGATAAAAGAATTCCCCCCCTCCCATATTATCAGATAAACCCGAACTCAAAAGCATAGGATTCATCATTTCCTTAAATGTTCTATTTTTCCATTCGGCTACACCATTTTGTTGGGGAGTATAGGGAGCACTAACCTCGTGTATAATACCATTTTTCTCATAGAAGGCTTCTAGAGTATTAGTACTACATTCACCACCTCTGTCAGACCTAAGCCTCTTGATTTTTCTGTCTAATTGATTATCTACTTCTGCCTTGTATTTCAAAAACATGCTTTCAGCCTCATCTTTTGACTTGAGAAGATATATCTTAGTATATCTAGAAAAGTCATCTACAAGGTGATGTAGTATTTCTTTCCACCCTTACTAACAGTGTTCTTGAAATCTGCTAAGTCTGAATGTACTAGTTCAAGCAATTCTATTTTTCTACTAGTTATATTTTTAAAAGGCTTTTTGGTATGTTTTGCTTCTACACAAACATAACACTTAGAAAAATTATCAACATTAACTGCAGGAATTAATTCTATTTTTCTAAGTCTTTTAATAAAAGCAATATTAACATGACCTAGTCTACCATAACAAATCAATAGACTCAACAATATAAGCAGAATTGAAAGTACTAGCATTATTAGTAATCTTGAGCGATGTTCAATATAAATAAACCCCCACTAAGGTAACCCTTCCCAACAAAGTCTCCCCCACGAGAAATAACAACTTTATCAGATTCAAAAACAAGTTTAAGACCTGCTTTGTTGAGAAGCGCACCTGAAACTAAGTTTCTACGAAGGGAGGGTACATACAAAATTTTGTTCTAAGGCTAAGGTTTTTCCAGAAGTTAACTTAAGGAGAATTTTTCCTTTACCCATAACTTCAGCTGTAGTGGAGTTACCCATGTAGACACACTCGCCATCAGCAGATTCCTCAAAGTCGTGAAACAGCTCCTTGTGGGCGCAAAGGTGCCTTGAAGCGCCTGTGTCCAGTATCCAGCCAGTCTTGTTAGCCACCATGTTCGCCTCAACAACCACAACAGCAATGACATCATCAACAACGACAATATTAGCAGCATTAGAATTATCAGCAACAATATTAGTAGGAGGATCGTTAAACAAAACTAATCAACTTCTAATTGTTCAAAGAAAATTAAAAATTTCTGGGACCAACGCTTATAATTGTTTCCATCTAAAGGCTCAAGCTTTGAGAGATCAGGAAGTGTTTTGTTCAAAGTGGTGGCCATTAGTCAATATTATATGTGAAATCGCTTTCAAATTGTAAGAAAAATGAGTAGATAATATTGATTAAGAACAAGAAGGAAAGAAGAACAACTTATCAAAAATACTGTGTCATGGCAAGCACTGCCTTGAAAGCGATTTGGGCCCGACTAGGTGCAAATCGTTAAGACCGGTCGCTACCCAAGGTTCCACAGCACCTCCAAACACGTGCACTCGTGGCTGGAAGTTTAGAATTTGCACAAAACAGTTGCCCAGAAAGAACAGAAGATGAAGGTTTTTTCTGTAGTTGTTACAGAAATTAAAATATTGTAGGAAGAACGTAATGATTATCAAGATGAATTCTTAGTTAAGAATTGAGCGAATATGATGGCTAATAATCATCTTATCTATAGGCAATTAGGGAGGTTACATGTATGACAAGTGTGGAGAGTCTTTTAACTCTTGTCCAAGCCACATGGTAGATTTGCAAAGCCACTTATCAAAGCCATTCAACACTTCTCTTTAAATCAATGCCACATGTAAAACTCTTGCCATGTATCAATTATCTAAGAGTATTTGGCCACTTGGAAATAGGTAGGATATTAATAAAATAAAAAGACCCATGCTTATTGGTCGTAAATGAATTTGCAAAAGAAAATCTTTGACTTTTTATTATAAATAATACCAACAAATTCATCCCACCCAAAACATTGTAAAAATATATTACTGTATAAAATAAGTATAGAGAACAAAAAAAAGATGTCCAACGAGTTGGTGGATAGGAGTTAGTGAGTGTGGATAAAACGTGGAAACCACAGCCAATCAGAACTCATAGAAATCCCCAAAAAGCCTTAATATCATCTTTTGTCAATACTTACCCAACCAAACCACCTCAAAATATAATTACTAAAATTCCCAAAAAATACAGACAGGCAGTTGAAATATTTACATTACAAACAGAAGAAAACTCAAAAGCAGAAACTTTTCCTCCATCGAACGCCACACGCCTTCCACCATTTCTGGCCACAGAGAGAGCTACTAAAACCCCCCAATTCATATCTGCTTTCACCATTTCCAATTTTTAGGGTTAGGGTTTTTGGTAGCTCAAATTGTAATTGCCAACAAATGGCTATTCCAACCGCATTTTCCGGTGCCAAGCTCGAGTCTTTATCATCGTCGGCGACTTCTCCGGCCCCTATCGGGTTGTTCTCCCATCCGGGTCGGGTCAGACGATTGCCAACTCAAAAGGGGTTGTTTAATTTAGGGATCAGGTGTGAAGTGGCAGCATCTGATGTTTTGAGTCAAAGTCAAAATTCTGAAAATGTGACTTCATCTTCCAGCCTTTCTGCTCTTGAACAGCTCAAAACCTCAGCTGCTGACAGTATGTATTTCATTTGTCCAAAGTTTGTTTCTTTCATTCAATTTGATATGACATCATTTTGAAAATTTGGAACTTCTATATTTCATATTAAATTTGGTGATATGATATGATTCTTTAGCTGCTCAGTGATTCTATTTGATCAATGTGCTGATTGCTGCATCCTTTTATTAGCTCCATGTTAATCAATCTTATTTACTGCTACTCTGCTCTTTAGTTGTTGGAGTAGTTTCTACTATTTTTTCCAAGGTTTATTCTTCACGCAATTATTTGGAAGAAGCATGTATAGTGACTTTACTTTGTGTTTTAATGAAGAGCTTTTGGTGGAATTATGGTCTTTAGCCAATTCTTTGTTTAATGAGGATATTGCTATGTTACTAGTTTTACATATAGGGTTAGGCCACAAGTTGTTTGTGCTTATCGCAGCTTCCCTTTTCCACGAGAGCTTGGAACATGAATGTCAATTAAATAGTGCAACAAGAAGTTGGACCTCATGTTTTTTATTGATAATGGTGGTGTCTGGTACAGCCGTGCGTACCTTGACTAATTTACAGGTTACGTGTTGCCTCACACCAACACAACTAGCGGGTAATTCTATCGACCAAGGATTAGGCAGATGGGACAAAATCACCTAACATTTTGTTTTTGCATCCCGAGCGAATATTTGATAGTTTCCTGGCCTTTCCTGATTATGAACTGTGCATGTGGTGCAGTCATATCAGTTCTTTCAGTTCTTAATGATCTGACAATATAGCCAATGTAATATCTTATCGAATAAATATATAATATCATTATGCTGGTCATAAATGTTATGTAATGTGTTTCCAATCCCTTGTTGAATGTTAAACAGTGTACACTAAATAAAAAAGTGATACCTCAATTTTTTTAATCTTAATATGCTTCAGGATATACCAAGGAAAGGAGCAGTATCGTTGTCATTGGGCTCAGTATCCACACTACACCTGTTGAAATACGTGAAAAACTGGCAATTCCTGAAGCAGAGTGGCCGAGAGCTATTGGGGAGCTCTGCAATTTGAATCATATTGAAGAAGCTGCAGTTCTTAGCACCTGTAACAGGATGGAGATCTATGTTGTGGCTCTTTCTCAACATCGTGGCGTTAAAGAAGTTACCGAATGGATGTCAAAGGTACTTCATTTCCCTTGAACTTTGCTATCTGATTGTGTAGCTTTACAGTCTGCTATCTTTTTTCTTACAACGATGAATAGAAAATAAAAAGTGAACCAATCGAACTATCCATTGTCATTTTCTCGGAGAGAGAGGTTTTCCTACTCATGACTAGTAAAATGTAAAAAAAGACCCTGGAATTTGAAAAAAAGATATCCCCCTTGAACAGATCTTAGCATATGTTTTTTTTCATTATCTTTGCAATATCGGGGTTCTGCTCAGAATCAGGGTTTCTGCATTCTCTGCAACTAGGCCATCAAACTGATAGCAGTTCTCCTTTTCTTTGGCAGACAAGTGGAGTACCTGTTACAGAGATTTGTAAGCACCGCTTTTTACTGTACAACAATGATGCTACACAGCACCTCTTTGAAGTATCAGCTGGGCTAGACTCCTTGGTCTTAGGGGAAGGTCAAATCCTTGCTCAAGTCAAGCAAGTAGTCAAGGTTGGTCAAGGAGTTACGGGCTTCGGAAGGAACATTAGTGGACTATTCAAGCATGCAATCACTGTGGGAAAGAGGGTTAGAACTGAAACAAACATTGCAGCAGGGGCAGTTTCTGTTAGTTCAGCTGCTGTGGAGTTGGCTTTGATGAAGCTTCCTGAATCCTCCCACGCTAGTGCTAGGATGCTAGTTATTGGAGCAGGCAAGATGGGGAAGCTTGTGATCAAGCACTTGGTAGCTAAGGGATGCACAAGGATGGTCGTCGTAAACAGAAGTGAGGAAAGGGTTTCTGCCATTCGTGAAGAGATTAAAGATGTTGAGATAATCTACAAGCCCCTCAGTGAAATGCTTAACAGTGCTGTTGAAGCTGATGTTATCTTCACAAGCACTGCATCAGAAACCCCGCTGTTTCTGAAGGAACATGTGCTGGATCTTCCACCTGTTGCTGCAAGTGTTGGGGGTTTAAGGCTTTTCGTCGACATCTCGGTTCCTAGGAATGTGGGTGCTTGTGTGAACGAGCTAGAGAATGCACGAGTGTACAATGTGGATAATCTAAAGGAGGTTGTGGCAGCTAATAAGGAGGACCGCCTTCGAAAAGCAATGGAAGCTCAGGCAATTATTTCTGAGGAATCCAAACTGTTTGAAGCTTGGAGGGATTCCCTGGAGACTGTTCCCACCATCAAGAAACTGAGGGCTTATGCTGAAAGACTAAGGGTTGCTGAACTTGAGAAGTGCATGTCAAAAATGGGCGATGATATCTCAAAGAAGACAAGGAAGGCTGTCGATGATCTTAGTCGCGGTATAGTTAACAAGCTCCTTCATGGTCCCATGCAACACTTAAGATGCGATGGGAGTGACAGCCGCACATTGAGTGAGACCCTTGAGAATATGCACGCGCTCAATAGGATGTTCAACCTTGAGACAGATATATCAGTATTGGAACAAAAAATTCGAGCTAAAGTGGAGCAAACTCAAAAATAAGGTCCATTATCTCAACTTATTCTTGAAAATTCTCTCAGAGGCTCGACTGAATAAGAGGAAGAATTCCTTAATTGTATTTTCTGTTTGCCGCTACTGTAAATTCTCATTGAAATGTCTAACAGGACATGATCCCTTGTTAAGATCTTTCCTGTTGATTTAATTTTGTCAAAGACATCTGCATACCTCTGATTGCGGATTCCTCTTGTGTCTTAAGAGTACATTTTGTATGTAACTGTCCTATTGAGACATTATCAATTGAACTTTGATCTTTGTAGCGAATGATTCATGAGAGATATCCATATACTCTTTCCACAAACAGTTTGTAGCGTTGTAACTAAGTCAGTGATTCAATTACTATTATGATTATTATTAATTTTATTCTAGTTGTTTTCCCTTCACTTTTGAACCCTGCAGTGTAATTGTCAAATGCAACAAATGTTGACTACTGGAATGCAGCTCTGTTTTCTTCTACACAATAGAATGCGTGCTAACAAGATAGTGTTATTTGAGACAGCTTGGTCTCAGATTAGGCCAACTCCATTTACCTCATATATAAAAGTAGGTATAACTGATGATTCCCTAATAATTTTGCGAAGCAGGTACTAAAATGGTCAACTAGGTTTTGGTGAACCAGAAGTAGAGACGAGTTCTAAAAAAAGGAAGCATAACTTGTCAAATTTCATTTGGAAAATGCAAAGCTCTATTAACTAAGTACTGTTGTTATAGATTTTCTTGGAACTTCGCTCGACAAGTAAAGCAAGACTGAGTTTATTAGAATAAGGAGCTTACTATAACACAAAATATCTTTTCTGGCTAGGATTCAGATTATACACGAAACACAGCTCTTATAATCCTTTTGGTTCACTTGCTTATTTTTAAAAATAGCCAGATTTACAACTGGTCGTTCAAAAATAGCCCAATTTCAAAAGTAATCGAAATTTAGCCACTTTTTATGTAAAGATAAATCTGAGCGAAAACACTGTTCAAAACCCGGAAAATACTCCAGTATATTATGCTGGAGTTCCAGCATAAGTATACTTGAACTCCAGCATATTATACTGGAGTTCCAGGATAGTATGCTGGAACTCCAGCATAAATATGATGGGGTTCCAGCATAAATACACTAGAACTCCAGCATAATATACTGGAGTTCCAGCAAGTATAATGGTCCAGTATAATATACTGGAGTTTAGAGCACCAGTGCTCCAGTCTCCAGTATATTATATTGGAGCCAGCAAAGTATACCGGTCCAGCATAATATGCTGGAGTTCATACAAAAGTGCACCAAACTCCAGTATATTATGCTGGACCGGTCTCTATTGCAACAAAACGGTGGCTATTTTTCATTGACTTGGTAAACGCTGGCTATTTTTGATTGACCAGTCCGAAAACTGGCTATACCGTGAAATTTTGGCGAGAAAACTCCCTAAACCTATAAAGACTACATTTTTGTAGCATGGACCATTACGAGCCCAATCAGCAGGATTTCTCGTCCAAGTGCACCAGTAGCCACTTTTAAGCCCGTTGTTTAAAATATATGCACAATTTACAATGTATTTAAAAATTAGCTAATTCACCAAACTTTAGGATTAAGTATCCTAAATTTCTGAATTGCTAATTTAAAATTTAGGACATAAGATTCGAATTCTGGACACAATTTTCAAATTTCAGGACGTCGTGTCCTGGAATTTAAGCGAATTGACTAATCTTTAAATACATTGTACACTGTGAATGTATTTTAAACATGGTACTGAAAAGTGGCTAGTCATTTCCACTCAGTTTGGCAGTTGGTTTGTCCCAGCCCTACCGTGGTGAGCCCAAACAGGTCCAAAAACTAAAATGGAAAAGAGACTTCTCGACCTTCAAAAATGGTAGACATTTGGACAATATTTGGTTGAAGTTGAACGAAAGAGCATAATGGAAGTTCAAAGAAGAGTATTTGGAGGTTAAGTTTGTATTTGTACTTAAATTTCAGTTAGAAAAAAAATTGAAAATGTATGAGTGAAAACAAAAATGTCTATTGAAATGCCCTTCAAATAAGCTTTCAATATTTCACCAGTATTATAGATATAGTGATGTCTAAAACAGACATTGCAAATACTGAAATTTTATTTATGGCGAATCAAGGTTACAGGGTACGCAAAGGGGCAGTTGCCACGCCTTGAATAAGAGAGATCAAATACGCAGTTCAAAGACATCATCAGTTCCAAAGTCTTCAATAACGAACCCCACCCACCCCCCACTCTTCTCCCAAGTCATTTATTTGCCTGGTTTTGAATAATATCAACCCTTATCTTTGTAGTCTAGTTAGGGAATACTTGTGTTATGTGTATCATGCATTCATGCTTCTTGCTCTATCAAAGTGCATGAGCATTTAATAGATCCCAAATTAACCCCACACGCATTTACTCACAGGCCACAAGCATGACTGAGCTCATAGACAAGAGATATCTGCAACTTTCTGCATAATTCAAAAGCTTAAGTCCAATTAGACCTCAACATTTGTGAAAAATGTGAGAATTGACAGTAAATACCATAACACTAGACAACAATTACAACGGTAACAAATCTACTGTAATCCCGCAAGTGAGGTCTGGGAGGGTAATGTGTACGCAGACCTTACTCGTACCTTATGAAGATAGAAATGTTGTTTCCGATAGACTCTCGGCTCAAGAACAATGAAAAGGAGGCTAATCAAGCGATAAACAATAGCAACAATAAGGTAATAGGATAGCAAAAGCAAATGACACAACGTATAATAATAAAGATCTAAGGATAAGAAAATATAAGCATAGTACTAATATTGCTGGTAAGAATGACGCACCGAGTAATAACAAAGATCTAGGAGTATGAAAATACAAGAATACTATAAATATTATCGGTAAGACTAGAAGAAACTCTGAACTACCTGTCAAACCACGACCCTAATTCTCGGCATCCACACCTTCCTATCGAGAGTCATGTCCTCGATAAGTTAAAGCATGCTATGTCCTGCCTAATCACCTTTCCCTAGTACTTCTTGTCCTAGCAATGCCATAACACTAGACAAAATAACAAAAACTCACTATCTAGTTAATCCTACTTTAATTTAGTGCACAAATGGAGTACCATCTTGTAAAGGCTTCATGTGAGTGAAGGATCAAGTAAAAACTTTAACATCTACCGCTCTACACTATTTGCTAGAAGAACAAAAACGTTTCCTTTGTTCTACATTTAAAAAAAGGGATTCTTATATTGTTTGCTTTTTCCAGCATGTATATATAGATTATACATAATCGTATACATATTATACATAAATTATATATATATACACACACATATCCGCCAGCTATTTTTAGTTTAAGGGATTAGGTAAACGGTTATTTGGATTAATTCGTCAAAAAAAAAAAAATAGAGCTGTTTTTGTCCATATATAGTAAGTAGAGGGAGGTTAAGGCTGGGAAGAACAGTTGGGAGTGGATGTGGGGAGCCTAGATTTGTAGCGAGAGGGTTTAAAAAAATGCAAAAATGTTAAACCAGAGATTTTTACTTGAAACCTAACATAATATGTGAAAGAGATTCATCAACAATTCATATATGTACAAAAAATTTGTTTGCTGGGTCTAAATGGGGATGGTGGTGGGGCTAGGTTCAACTTGGGTGGTCATATGTAGAAACGAGTGAAAGGTGGTCCCAATCAAATCACATGAATTTTAGACAGGATATTTTGATTTATCCATTGTCATTGTTTGTATAATGTACCAATTATTGGTGAAACTTGGGTAAAATGTAGTATGGTACAACTTTGAGATTTTAGTAAATGCACTTCGGACTTTGGGCTTAGGGTCTAAATGTGTCCTGGAATTTGCACAAGATGAGTCATTTTTTGGTACAGTGCTAGTAATGCATCGGAAAATTTTGGTATATCCTCCAGCCTATTTATGAAGGGTGGGGTTAAACTCACTTGAAATTTTATCCCTTTGTGCCAATTTTCCACCTTACCTAGTTGTTCAAGAGTACAATTATTTTGTTCCAGAAAACTATTCCTTGAAATTATTCTTTATATCACCTACTACTAGAGGTATAATTGTCTTAGCTTTTTATTGAATTCCTTGAATATTCAATTATTGAGAGTTGATAAAAAGTTAAATGGATACAGTTAACCATTATATTTACAATACTTGGTAAATAATCTTAGCTTGTTCTTCTACCTTTAACTCATTATAACCTCCTTTGTTTAATTCTTGTTCGATAAGGATCAAAATGCCCTTAATTATGACTAGCATTCAGAAAATAATCATTACTATTTAAATTAAGTTCTGAGGTATCTCTTACAAGATAATGAATCTTTTTCATAATTAGACAAGAAATACCAAAAAGGAAAGGAAGAAAAGGCTAAAGAATAGGTTCCAATCATATAAAAGCAAGAGGACTTCTTTTCCCATATTCTACTTTATCAAAACTTTAGGGTAAACCTAAAGCTAGTAATAACTTTTACAGACTTTACCATCTTTTTATTTTTATACAATAACTTAAACTCGAGCAATCATACCTATCATTTGTGCAAATTTTCTAACCCTCTTTTGTTATAGATATCATTGGTGTGATTGTTCTTCAATGTATAGTAAATGGTTACTCTCACTCGCATTCTTCACTAATTAAAAACCAATTCGAGATAGATGCCATGAGAATATCGGGAGATGCTTGAAATTCTATCGTTTTGTTTGAAGTCGTTACATGTACAAAGTCTAGCGTTATTTCGAATTTACGTCACATAGCGGACACTAAAACGGAAGTATTTTCTGTATAGGTCAAAATCTATCTTTAGAGTATTTAAGCCAAGATAGCACTAGGGGAAGACTTCCCAAGTCATCGTTTGTCGAAATGGCCCAGGAAGCGAAGTTCGTGGTCGAAGAGTCAACAAGGGACGAAGTCGAAGAGTCAACAAGGGACGAAGTCGAGGAGTCAACAAGGGTCGAGGCCGAGGTCGAGTACTTTTGACGGAGTTATAGCGGCTAGTTTCGAGATAGGATATTACAGAGAATATTCTAGTAGATGTTATCTGCACTTGTACTATTAGGATTTTTTAGAGCATGTTCCCTGTAAATAGAAAAATACACTATGATAGGGGCATGTGATATTTATTTGTAAAGAATACACTTTGACTTGAGAAAGAGAATTGGATCTCATTTCATAAGATACAAACATCAACTTTTCACTGAGATTCTTGTCTATACTTTTTCACTAGATCCGAGAATAACTCAAATATTCAAGGGATTGTCTATTATTTATCGTTGTCAGAAAGAACATCCACTTATTCCATCATTTTTTG